ATGGAGGACCGGTTTCTTTGTGTCAAGACGCACCAGTGGAAGTGTCACCATCTCCCTGCGTTCACACCTAATCAGCAAAATAATAACATTTGCCGGGATAATCACTCTGATTGGCACGGATTTACAAATACCGGTGGTTAGTGGTGGTTTCTGGCAGGGATTAAATGGACTTTTACGCACAGAAATCCAACATATTAGAGCAAAAACACAAGCAGCACCAGGGCCTGTAGTTTTAAATGTGCACTCCAAAGTGTGAATTGATTAAACTGTAGCTCATATTTATAGTATATTCTAATTTATTTACACAGATTTCTTGTGCAACTCCAAACATAAGCTCACCTGTTTATATCACCTAACTTCCACAGGCCCCCTATTATTATTCTAATAATAATAACTTTATTGAGCCTGTAGCTGCCTCCAGTGCAGCTCCAACGTGCAGCTTAGTCATACCGTTGCATGCATATTGAGGAATGAGAACATCTTCCTCGTTACCAGCCCTCAGATGTGGATGTGTGGAGGAGTCCACGCCATGCAGTAAAGTTGCCGCACCCTCATACGTACGCATCCTGCACGCACACATGCACGCAAGCACGCAAGGATACACACACACACACACACACAGAGTCAGAGAATACATCACATCATTAGTAGGAGAAAAGGGAGAGTGCAGATCTTGGAGATTGTTTCTTTGTTGCTGGTTATCACATCTAGAAGTGATTTAAAGGAAATGTTTGTTTTTGTATAACTGTGGTAATGAGTCAGTGTTGAGAAGAGAAGGAAGGAGAAGAGAGTAGAGAAGCCCAAACCTTTTTTAAAATATATTTTCATTCATTTGGTTAAAGGAATGGTATTGGATTTCTCCCACTAGGGGTCTCTCCATCTAAATTAACAAAATATGCAGTTTGATGGTGTTGAGAGGTCCTGTTGGAGTTGTTGTCTTTGTTGACACTGTTGGTGGATGAAAGATGGACATAACCACCGTGATGTCACCAGTTGGTCTATGGAGCCTTGTTAGGCCTTGGGTGATTTTCATTTAGACATGGGATTAGTACATTAGTGACCTATCAATCCCCACCGAGCCCCGCCCTAAAACATACCCCATTGTATTGTCTATTTTCCTCTAAATGGGACCATAATTTATCACGTGAACATCATTCTGCGCTTAAGGAGACTTCAAACTAGAGATTGAGACCATAAACTAATTTAAAAACTGTTTACTTAGGTGACAAATTAAGGGAGACATAGGGGCACTTTCTCATAGACTTCTATATATTCAGACTTCTTTCTGCAACCGGAGGAGTCGCCCCCTGCTGGCTGTTAGAAAGAATGCAGGTTTAAGGCACTTCTGCTGAGGCTACGTCCATATTTTATATAAAACCCATGATATAGACTGTGGACCTGAAAGTTAAAGGAGCAGTTTGGAAATTCTCCTGTTGGGGGTCTCTCTGTCAACATTAACAAAATATGTAGTTTGATGGAGTTGAGAAATCATGTGGGATCGTAGGATTCTTTACCAACATCATCTGACGTGACGATAGACTGTTTCTAAAAAAAACTAACAGACCCACCTTGACATCACCACTTTGTTTGTGGACTGCTGATGCGAAGCCTTGAGTTTGGCATTTGGCTGCGAGATTGATGTAACTGGAGAACCCAAGGACACTAAACATGGTAATATGGTAGCGATCCCAAATAGCCCCGCCCTAAAACATACCCTGCTTTATTGTTTGTTTTCATATAAATGGGACTATAATTCACTACATAAGCATTTTGTATTTTTTAAAAAAAGTCTTGAAACTACCAATTGAGACCATAAACTCAGCAGGAAAATGTTTACGGAGGTAAGAAATAGTGTGACATCGCCGTGGATTTCTATGTATTCAGACTTCTTTTTGCAACCACATGAGTCGCCCCCTGCTGGCTGTTAGATAGAATGCAGGTTTAAGGCACCTTCAGTTATCTGATTTAAAGGCTACACCCGTCTTTGATGTGCAGTCTGGACTTGACTCAGGCAGAAATCTCTTTCATAGATGAGGTGTTGTATTCATGTTACGTTTCTGTTCACTTTATATCATTTTCCTTCTAATTAAATAGCTGTAACACGAGTTAACCGAATGTAATGTGTCGACGACCCACACAGTGACTGAATTATGTGTTGAATGTAGTCGTGGAGCACCAGCAGTGTCACCTGAGGTCAAAACAGTCATGCTAACATAATAGTGATGAGCAATACAGAAACAGTAGAGTGACTCTCTAGCACGCCTTCTTCTTCTTGACCTGTAACTGTAATGAAATGCACCGTTACATTGGCTCAGTCCCAATCTGCACACTCTTGGACTCACACACTTCGAGATGCATTTCCATTAAGTGCATGAAGATTTATCCCTCTGTCAAATAGTCAAGTGCATGAGGGCTCTGATGCAGACTTAATGCTTCTGTGAGGGTTGCTATGTGCAGACTACTAAGAGACTTTCCCACAGTTTCAAACTGGTATAAATGTGTTTATCGTACTCTCCGATGAAAACGGGCCCAACCCAACCATGTGGATGGTGTAGGGAAGAAAATCCGCTTGAAATGACAGCATCTGCCTGCTCCTGTTGTCGTTGTTTATTGCACATGTGCTGAGTTGTTTGTATTTTCAGTGAAACAGGATTCATGGCTTTTCTGACTTTTGCTAGTTTGTTAAAATGTGTGTAAAGCCACAAACGGGGAGAATGAACTGAGCAGCTGATAAAACTGTGAGTGTAACACAAGCCCAAATTCACTGTTTTTATTTTTATTTTTTTAATGGTGATGTGTTGTTTCCAGGCAACATGTGCCGTCTTGATTCCTCCGTTTCATACCATTTCAGCCCTCGTGAACTCTCACGCTCAAGCACTCCAGCTGTGACGTCAGTTAAGTCTGTGAGGGTTTTAGTGCTCAGGCCTTAGTGTGAAGATTGGGACTGGGCCAAGAAATGAAAAATACTGACTTCTTTAGGTTTGATCATAGGTGGAAACATTTGGGATAATGTAAGTACACAAGCCAACAAAGTCTACAACACCAGTCTAGACGTTTTTAGGCATTTAAACGTGGAACTGTCACATATTATTAGGGGTTAAATTGGGATTAGTGAGGAGGACTCGTCCAGTGAGCTTATAGAAAAGACTGCTGACAGTAGAAACAGGGACCATTTCTACAGTAGAAAGTAGTTTTAGTTAAAACTGCACACACTGTGTTCTGAGTAACACTGGTTCTGTTTCTGGAAAGACGTGTTGCAGCAACATTTTCTAAATGTTAGTTTATATCGTTGAATCACCGTTCACCTTTACTGTAATTGTGGCATTTCAGAGTTATATGTCTTCAATTAAATCTAACGGTCTAAATAAACAGATTCTAGCAAGGAGAAGCCAGTATTTTTTCCCAGTTTTGATTTATTTATTTGTGTAATTTCTGCACCTTTTGGTAATTTGGGTGAAGCAACGTGTTAAGTTTATGAAAACACTGTGAAGCACCAAAGGACAATAATAAAACACCCCAATTATTATAGACCTATACTGTAATACACTGCAGTGTTAGAACTCTTTATTAGTAGTATTATTATTTCTATTTGCATTTAATTGATAGTTTAGGAACCAACAGTCCTGCTGTTCATTAAATAGACATATTCTTGGACTGATCCAACTAAACTATCTACAGTAACTTAAAGCCTTAAGTTTGATAGTCTAGCTGTTATTATTTTTTATTTACTTCAGCGATTCGATTAGCTCGTACTCGCAGTAATGCCACAACTGCAAAAAGTTACTACATTCAAGCAGAAAAACTGAGATTTCTCTGCAATAATCCACTTGCAAAACCCCAAAACAAGTGTCCAGTGGAAGCAATGAACCCTGATTTCACTGTACAAACTGTGCATCGGTGCAGCAGCAGCTCAGCTGTTTGCCTGCAGAAAAGCACGCAGGTCAATGAGGCCACGCGAGATCACAACGACACGTCGGGAGACGGAAATAATCAATGAAGTCACCCGCTGTGCCATCTGTGTACCCTGTGCACAGCTTCTCCCTCAATTCGAAGATCGTATCGACTCTGCTGTTGTTTGATGCTACAGCTGCTAAATAAAATCAAAGAAAAGAAGGTGACATTCTACATTTGTTTGTGTGACACAGTTTCTGTAATTGGATTTCAGTTTACTCCTGCATATTATACCTTTGGGCCGATTTCATTTCAGAACACAAAGGTATGAATGCTGTTGCAATAAAATTCTGGATGCTGAACCCATTATTCCTTTTTGCCCGACATATGACAAAACCACCGTGTGTAGATTTAAAGGACCCAGAAATAATACAGAAGACATGACGTCTCAGGATGCATATCTGTGAGTTATGAGCAGAAAATACAAAAAGTATACTACATTTTGTGAGTACGATGATTTATGATGTGGTGTTTCACCTCATGACCCCCTTGTGAGGGTATTGACCCCCAGTTTGGGAAGAACTGGAGTCGATTAGAGCTATTGTACATAATATAGTGAACAGAAACCCACCTCAACACACTTTATTCATGTTTTTCAGCCGCTATCATTCATACTATTTGGCTTCATAGTCCGTTGAACATCATTGTAAGCAGCTCCATTCAGGCCTCTATAGTCCTCCTAAAATAATGGCCTTATTGACCCTTGTTCGCCTTATTGTGACCCACAACTGGACTCAGCTTCTCTTCTGTTTACATCATTGGGACGTCAGGTTTCAGGCGGCGACTGACACAGCCTTCTCAGTGCTGTAGCTGATGTCAGTCTCAGTGTGACAGCCTGGTCACAGAGCAGCATCTCCGATCTCTCCTCCATAGTCTGACTGTGCTGTCTCAGAATGAGGTACCGGGAAAAGTTAGTTTTCTCTTGATTTAGCAAGTTTTTTTGTGCACTAGTGGGTTTACTTTTAATCGGATCGCCACTTTTTTTTAAAGTCTCTACACTGCTTACCCTGACAAATCTGTTTTCCTCTCCTCCTCACAGAGCAATAGCCATGTCTTCCAGCTCAGCAATGGCCCGGATCCTGATAAAGGGCGGCAAGGTGGTGAACGACGACTGCACCCAGGAGGCCGACGTCTACATCGAGAACGGCATCATCCAGCAGGTGGGGAAGGAGCTGATGATCCCGGGTGGGGCCAAAGTGATCGACGCCTCGGGGAAACTGGTGCTCCCGGGGGGCATCGACACCAGCGTGCACCTGGAGGAGAGCTTCATGAACGCCACCACGGCGGACGATTACTACAGCGGCACCAAGGTAACCTGGAAATGGAGAGAAAAGGGGTCCAGTTAGATAGTAGAACAACTGCCATAGCGAGATGTTACAGCATCTTTTACAACCAAAACCTGAAATAAGAACCACAAACTACCATCATCTTGTATAATAAACGACAAAGTGCAGTTTTTCTTGTAAATCTAACCAGACTTTCATCAATATTCCACCAATTTTCTCATTGCTGATGGTTACAAATGTGTTATTTTGTGCTACAGATAAAGACCAACAAAAGCTGATGTTAATTTTAGCCGAGACGTCAGTGATGCTTCTCGTTTTTTGCTTTTGATGCTTCTTAATATTCCACGATCAAATATTTTGGTTATTTCAGGCAGAGTTGCTGCTCCTGCTGTCAAAGTCAGACAGAAGATGTAAGAAGTTGGAACACATCACACAGGAATAAAACAGCAACAGTAGAACAACGTTAAATATGAATCAAAATTTCCTGCAGGATTCATAAAAGCTTATCTTATTTTATCTTGTCTTCCGCTTTATCTGGCTGTTTTTCTGTGAGCTATGGTTAGTATTAAAAAAAAACTTTAAATGTGTTCACAGCCAAGAAATAAATCTGGATGTAGTCAGTTTGAAAAAAACAAAAAAGCAAAAATATTCTGGTTTCACTTCCTTTAAATGTTAGATTTTCTATTTCTCTTACTTTTCTACTATTGAAAAAATATCATCTTTGTGTTTTGGACAAAAGAAGCCGTTTAAAAATGTCACTTAAGACACAAAAGTTGTTCCTTCTTCCCCCTCAGAGAGCCAGGCATCGCCAGTTTTAATTTGAAATTGCAGGTGATGCATTCATTGTTTTGCTGAGTCATGTTGGTGATCATAAACCACATTAACAGTCAACAGAAATACGACAATTACTTTTAAGGAATGGAGCTTAATCGTGTTGATCAATCGTTTAAGTTGGTTTTTGAATACCAAGAGCAAAATTTCTCTGGTTTCACTGTCTCTAATGCTAGCTTTTCAGTTTGTTTGTTTGTTTTTTACTTTTCTATGATAGAACACTGAATATCTTTGAGTTTTGGACAAAACAAACTGTTTAAAGATCTCATCATAGACACAAATTTATAAGTGAGTTTTTCTTGCTTCTCAGAGAGATAGATGTCACTGATTCTACTTTAAAATTGCAAAGGATTCGTTCACTACTTTGCTGAATCATGTCTGTGATCGTGAACCAGCCAACAGTAACAGGACAAATGCTTTAAAGAAATAGATTTAGGTCGTGTCGAACAATCATTGCAGTCAATTTTTAAATAAAACGAGCTGAACATCTCTGGTTTGACTTTCTCAAATGTTAGATTATCTGGGTTTTCTTAACTTACTATGATAGAAAACTTCTTTGAGTTTTGGACAGAACAAGCTGTTTAAAGATGTCACCTTTTAGACATGATTATAGGTTGTTTGTTTTTTCTCTGGGCTGCAAGGTGGATTAGTGGTTAGCACCGTTGCCTTGCAGCTAGAAGGTCGCCGGTTCATGTCCTGGTGAGGACACCGGGATATTTCTGTGTGGAGTTTGCATGTTCTCTCCGGGTTCTCATGCTGAGGTTAACTGGTGATTCTAAATTGTCCGTAGGTGTGAATGTGAGTGTGCTTGGTTGTCTGTCTCTAAGTGTAGCCCTGTGATAGACTGGTGACCTGTCCAGGGTGTCCCCTGCCTTCACCCTGAGTCAGCTGGGTGGATGGATGGATGGATGGATGGATGGATGGATGGATGGATGGATGTTTTTGCTCCTTAGAGAGCCAGATGTTGCCAATTCTACTTCAAAATCACAAAGGAACCATTCACTACTAACGGTGTTGGTAACCAGATGAACTGCTGATAACTGCTTTAAAACATGCACTAAAATAGCAAAGGAGCATTTAATGGTAAAAATAAGTTGCGAGTTTAAATGAGTGCAAACCAGATGCAAGAATCTTTCCCAGTTTTATAATATTTTACAGATGAAACTGTTGATTGATTATTCAAATAAGCAATAAATTAGATGTATAGATACCCAGATAGGCAATGTTATGTTAAATCTGTGTCACCAACTGAGGGTGATTTTTAGCTGTTAGCTGCCAGAAACCATCATGGAGGCCGATAAAAACCGGGGCATCCCACTTTACCACAGAGCACCGTGATGACTCATCATTCTGTTGCACTTTGAGCCGATGGGAGCCGAGAGGTGACGGATGCTGCGGTCGGTAGACGCTGGTGACAGACACTATTCTCCACTGTCCTCCCTCCCTCCCTCCCTCCCTCCCTGCTCCGCCGATGCCACCGCCGCCGCTATGCTCCAGATTAACTCCAGAGACAAATGCAGATTAGTATCTGTTTCCATGGATACCAGGGGGCTGCTGCAAAGACTGCCGCAAAGCCTTTTCACTCACGCCATTGTGCTGAGAAACAATGGTCCTCAGACCCTCGCCCCCCGCCTCCTCCCCAGCACTCGCTACTCCACTCTCTATAGTCAGCTGACAGATGCTCAGTGAAGCACTCACTTACACACAAAACACGCTCTGTCTTCACTCGTTGGGGTTGTTAAGATTAACCGTAGTTTAAAACATCTAAATCTGGGTTTGGAGGAGGAAAAAGTAAGAAGCGCTGATGCTGGGGAGAAATTGTGGCTTTAAATAAGTTATGATTACAGTGTAAGGAGCAGTCAGTCCTGTGCTTTAACTACTGAAGGATTTATATTTCCCTCAGCACGCTTCTGCAAATAACCATAAAGATAAGCATCAATGGCAGTTAGGGCTTTTACTTTTATGTTTAGATAAGGAACTGATTAGTAGATTGCAGCTCCCTCAGTATTTATGGGCTTAATAAATCAATATCTTCTGCTTTAATGCCACTTTCTTTTAAGTTTAAGTCAATTAAAAGTTCATTTTCATTAAACCTCAGTTCATTTTAGTAACAAGTAGCACACTGAATGACAAATGGTGGACCACAGTAGCTTTTGCATATGAAGTTCTAGAATTACATCCTACATTTTTCCTAACTCAGGGGCTCTTCTTTGCTTTTTTTCCAGGCTGCTTTGGCCGGCGGCACAACAATGGTGATCGGACACGTTCTGCCAGAGAAGAATGAGTCTTTGCTGGAAGCCTACGAGACGTGCCGCAGCTCGGCGGACTCCAAATCCTGCTGCGACTACGCTCTGCACGTGGGAGTTACTTGGTGGGGACCCAAGGTACTGCAACACTGTGTTCCCCTGTCTCTGTAATGTTTGTTATTTATCTTCAAAATCACTTCTTTTCAAAGGAAGCAAATCAACATTTAGCATTAAATTGTTAGATTTGATCAGTGTGTGATGTTCAGGAGATGGTTTGTTGCTTCTTCTATGTCTGTTAGTCACTTTAAATATTCTGATAAATGAAATTAGCAACAGATTGCAGAGGATAGACATGAACATGCTGCGTTTAGATGTTCATATGTGGAAGCTGCAATACATGCTGTAGCTAAAATGTGACATATTGCATGTGTGTGTTGCTTTTTGGTAAACTGAGGCTGCTTTTCTGTAACAACTCTCTTGCTTTTTGGTGTATTCTAAGAAGATATTTTAAACAGCTGAAATATGTCCTACTCTCCTGCTTATGTAGTCAAATTGCTTTATTTATATTGCACATATACTAAAAAACTGCACAGATTGACCCCAAGTTTTCCCCTAGAGAGAAAAGATGAACATTTACATGTATGAGGTCACTAAACAACAGCATGGAAACAAACATTCAACCACACAAATTTCAGTTTTTGTTCATACAAACTTGTGTGTTAGGATGCACTGCAGGCGATGTAAGAACTCATTTCCATTGTCCACTCCTACAGGTGCGAGCTGAGATGGAGAAGCTGGTGCGGGAGCATGGAGTGAACTCCTTCCAGATGTTCATGGCCTACAAGGACATGTTCATGCTGAGGGACAGCGAGCTCTTCCAGGCCCTGCAGCACTGTAAGGACATCGGAGCCATAGCGAGGGTCCACGCTGAGAACGGAGAGCTGGTGGCCGAGGTGAGGAACAACTAGCGCGATAACTTCAGATTTTTGTGCTTTATGGTGTTTAATAGTCGATACAAATGATGCCATTCCTCCACAGTTCACCGAATGCCCCACCATCTTCAATTTGATAGATTTTTATCTTCTTGCTCATAGGTAACTTTAGTTTTTGAGTTAAAAGTTAACCAAGAGGGATGTATCATGTCATTTTTTTGCATTGTTTTCTTCGCACTAATCTGTGCAGCAACGTTTGAAGTGTCACAACTTGAGAAATATGTAGCCAGAGTCCTGAATTTTATAGGCTCATTGATATGCACATATGGTCTTTAATGATAAAAACAATGCTTTGATAAGATCATATAAACCACTTATATGATGGTGTGAATTTGGTTTTTTAAAAAATGTTAATATTTCAGTCAACTCCAATCATCCACCAAACATAAAACCTTCACTGTTCACTCTATGAGGCTGATTGTTTTTCTGTGATTGGCACCAAGAGGAGCCTTAAAACTGTTGAGTATGCTGCCAGTCAGAGGTATACTTGATGGCAGGGGTTCTCAACTGGTGGGTCGCGACCCAAGGGTGAGTCGCGGACCTGTTCTGGGTGGGTCGCGGACAGCTGGTCAAATTTAAATAATATATAATGTGCGTCTCAGGTTGGACTTATTTTTTATTTAGAATTTTTTTTTTATTTTGACAGGCACAGTAACGATAGTTTGTTTGACGTTCATTTTAAGTTTGTGTTGATGTTGGGACACAAGATGGCAAAAACATGACCCGGAGTGTGTAAAATGTGGGTTTTCATACTAGGACTGGACCCGAATAGCCACCTATTGGTTCACTGTGCTAGTATCCGGATACCAGTTTGGATGTCCGAATATCCCCCCCCCCACACTAAATTATAAGTAAAACTGGGTCGCGACTTCATGACCTCGGGAACATGTGGGTCCCAGGGTGAGACCAGTTGAGAACCCCTGCTTTATGGGAAAAAGATATTTGAACATGCATTGAGCTGGTATAACAGATGAAAACACTCCAAAAATGGTCTCAACTGGAACAGTCGTATAATATTGCTAGTAGCCTAAAAGAAAAATCATGGTTTTCCAACTTATAGTACGAAATGGCGCTAAAATTGTCATGAGCCCACCCCTCTTTAAGAATTTTTAACTCAAAAACGAATATCATCTATAACACCAAATGTTACACACAGTCAACTCAGTCAGTATTCACCACTTCACAAAAGATCTGGCAAGTTGAAGATGGTCGGGTGTGAACTTTTCTAAGAATTTCAAAAACGTGGTGAATTGAGGTGGAATGACCCAATTAGATCGTGAGTGCTAATGCAGTTGCACTTTCCCTGTAATTGTACTGACGTTTGCTTTGTTTAAATTAAATAGTTAACAGATGGATTTTGTAGAAGCTCATCATATCCATAACTTTGAGTCTCTTGTCTCTCCTCAGGGTGCAAAGGAAGCGTTGGATCTGGGCATCAGTGGCCCAGAAGGGATTGAAATCAGCAGGCCTGAGGAGGTAAAACAGCCAGAATTATCTGGTGATTGTGTGTTAATCTAAAATGAAATTACTTTTGATTATACTAAGAGTATTAGTGTTATTGCTTTGATTAAATAATTCCACCTCAGCACCCCTACGATTCCTATGATTCCTCACAGTCTTTGGTTTCTTTACAGCTGGAAGCAGAGGCGACTCACAGGGCGATTACCATCGGCAACAGGGTGAGTTATTAGCAGGCAGAAAACAAAAACGTAATGAAAAAATACTGCGTGAAAGGAAAAGATGGTCATCGGTTTGAGGGATGCTGAGCACCAGCATGTTGACAGTTTGACTGTGAGCTCAGTGGAAATACTGTTACAGCCTCACAGAGCTGCTAGTAAGATTGAAGATAATCTAAAAATGACGATGTGCCCTCTGTGTGTGTTTTCTGTCAGGCCCACTGCCCCATCTATCTGGTGAATGTGTCCAGTATGTCTGCAGGAGACGTGGTGGCTACGGCTAAGATGCAAGGTGAGGCTTATTTTCTCTTATATTATGTGTTACCCTCTTTAGAGCAACTAATACATGTTTAAGAAGTGTGTGTACATTTGATCAGATTGGATCTACATTTTAAAAACTTTTAAACGAAGGTGTAGATGAGTTGCTGTTATGTCTACATAGAAATTTTTTGACAAGTCATGGTTTGCTTCTGTAATGAACCCTGGACTATTTTCACCACCTTTATTTTTAAGCTCTTATCTGGGACATTATAGGAACTAGTCATGCAAAACAGTCCAAGGTATCCAGGTCCTCCTTCATTATATATGATATTACTTGCAGATTTACTATTTTAGCTTTTATATCAAGGAAAAAAACATGTTGTGTTATGAAATTGTTATGTTTACATGTTTCTCATCATAAAATGCTGGCAGTAAAGATATCTCGTCATAATTGTGTAGCAGAGGTTGGAACGTGGCCATGTCAGACTCAGAAATTGGGTCAAATATGTACTTAATGCCTAACAGAAATAACTGTCATTATTTTATGCACTGAGGTGTTTACATAGAGTGGCCTATTTGCAAATGTTTACCCCTCTGCCCCCACCTAGCTCCCAAACAAGGGACCCCAGTAGCCTCTTTGCCCTCAGACCCCCTACAGTCTGGGATCACCACTGCTTTCTTGGTGACTTCCGCTCATCTTTTGACCACAACTTTTGAATCACCGCAATGAAAAGCAAATTAATTTGTGTCAAGCCTGCGCTGGAGACAATGCAGGAATCTGCAAAAACCAGATTAGTCTCTTGGTCTCTAAGCGTAGCCCTGTGATAGACCGGTGACCTGTCCAGGGTGTCCCCTGCCTTCACCCCCAATCAACTGGGATAGACTCCAGCCCCCCATGACCCTAGTGAGGATTAGGCGGTGTATAGATAATGGATGGATGGATGGATTAGGCTCTTGCAGTTTGTTTTGCATTGAAATTATATTGACTTTGTGACTTACTCAGTTGAGAAGCCGGAGAGTGAAAGTGGAAAAAAGTCTTTTTAGGGATGTTACCTTGCAGAAGTTTGATCTGTCTTTGTAACATTATGACTTTGGTATAAAAATGTAAAGCCCAACGAATATAATCACAAAGCTCTGGATTTGCTCTTTCCTGTGATATGGTAGACATTTCAAGATCTCTGCGATGATAGACGCACAACTATGATTACTTTATATCACTAATGCATGTTGCACAGACAAGCAACTAACAATATTGGAAAGGGCAAATCATGCACTTTAATGTAATATGCACCACACCTCGCTGCAGTCAATGCTTTCAAAGCAATACAACTGAAAAAACTGATGTGGAAAAAAGTGTCTAAAAAAAAAGGAAGCATATTTCACAAGTGCACATTTAAAAAAAGAAAATGTATGTTAGAAATTATGTTCAAGTCTGTTAAAGACACATTTTGAATTGACCTTTTTATTTGAATTTTCAAAAAGCAAGTTATTACAATTCCAAAGCACATCATATTTACAACATCTTTTTAATATTTCCATTTCTTACTTCACTCTTTTGGTATTGCATAAGAACAGCATAACATGGGGGCGTTTAACTCTTTGTAACTATATTCAAATCACTCGATAAAAAGAAAAGCAGATAAAGAGATGTATGTAGTTACAGGTAGGTTCAAGTAAAATCAGATCTTAGGGGTTTTTACAGTCCATTTAGTCCAGATCTGATAAATCTTTTAGCACTCTTAGAAAAAAAATGTCCACTTTTCCATAACCTAGACCTCATATGATGCTAAATCTTTAAATGTATATATCTGAGCTTTGTTTTTGGGCAGTTCACTGAATTTTCATTGAGTGTCTGGACACAATGACAGTAAAGGAACCTTGAATCTTTTCTTGCAGCTCTAACATGTGTCCGTACTGTACCCTCTGCCCTCAGGTAAGGTGGTCCACGGAGAAACCACCACGGCCCACGCTGTCCTGAACGGTATGCAGTACTATCATCAGGACTGGTCCCACGCGGCGGCTCATGTAACGGTGCCTCCCCTCCGCCTGGACCCCAGCACTCCAAATTACCTAATGAGCCTGCTGGGAAAGTGAGGAAAAAAAAAAAGTCTATGAAAGCTCTCATTAAAGCGTTTCTGGTTTCTGATGCAGTAATGAACTTCCTTTGTCCCGCCATCAGCGACACTCTGAATGTTGTGGGCTCCGACCACCGTCCCTTCACCATCAAACAGAGAGCCATGGGCAAGGATGATTTCACAAAGATCCCCCATGGGCTTCCTGGTATTCAGGACCGTATGAGCGTCATCTGGGAGAAAGGAGTGGTATGTGTAGCTGCTTTGTTTCCGTCTGGCTGCCAGAGAACTTCCACGAATAGGACATCTGTTTCGGTTTCGGTGGTTCTGGATGTGAACTTCTAAGAAATAAACACAGCCGGAAGAGACGCACAAACATCTGCTCTTGCTTTGGATGCGTCAAACGATTTATCCCCATTTTCTCTGTAATTTTGAAATGTTCTTGTCTGTTATAATCCACAGATTGGAGGTAAAATGGATGAGAATCGCTTTGTAGCAGTCACGAGCTCAAACGCAGCCAAGATTTACAACCTCTACCCCAGGAAAGGCCGGATCATCCCGGGAGCAGATGCTGATGTGGTGGTCTGGGACCCCGAGGGATCCAAGTATGAAACTCAATCCGTCCATTTATCGACCGGCTTGTCTCACTGCAGCTTTTATCTCTGCTCTCTGAGGCTGATGTAGCTTTTGTCTGGCTAAAGCGGGTCGTCTCCGTCTCTCTCCTGCAGGACCATTTCTGTGGACAGCCAGGTCCAGGGCGGTGATATAAACCTGTATGAAGGCCTTCGCTGTCACGGCGTGCCTTTGGTTACCATCAGCCGCGGCCGTCTGGTCTATGAAAATGGCATGTTCACGTGTGCTGAAGGCTCCGGGAAGTTTTGTCCACTGAGGACTTTCCCAGATTACCTCTACAAGAAGATGGTTCAGAGGGAAAAGGTACAAGACTGACTTTAAATACACATTAAGTAGATGCAGCGATGCTTACAGTGACTCATCTGTGATATTATTTAGACGATGCATTGAATTTGAAACCATCTGTCCTGGTTGAATGGTTTGATAGTTTTACAAACTGTATTTTTCCATATATACCTTCAGATTATTTCAATATACTGTGCAGTAATTCTATTATTTGTGCTACTACCTACCACCTACTAATACCACAGGTGCTGCACTCTCCACTGTATGTACTCCGTCTACTACTAGTGCATTTTGCAGCTGTATCTATTGTCCCTATTGCTACTTTAAATGTACTTGCTACGACTATTATTGCTATCATTAGTGGATTGCTACTGCTGCTGTGGCCACTATTTGTGTAGCAGTACTGTACATATCAAACAATACTCGCACTATTATCTGTGCTGCTACTTTTTATAGAGTCAAAATAGGTAATTAGGATTCTTCTTGTTATAGTATTTGAGTATTTTGTTAAAATGTTTTTTGTTTAACTTTGTAGATCAGCTTTTACTATGGTAAAACTGCGATGATATTAAAAAAATCAGTGAAACATTTAAATTGCCATTTAACCCTCTAAACCCCAACACCTGTTAGCAAGTTTGAAAGGCATGTTATGATTTTAAAAACCAGCAAAGTTATATCATTTATCAGAGTCAGCAACTTCAAAAACAGAAAAAAATCTACTGACTTTCAACTTTCTGACGGTTCTTGAACCACTCACATGTGACCAATGATTCCATCAGGAAAAATCACCAAATCTACACTTTTTTCTTTAAAATCACTTCGTTCTACATGTGTTTTAAGAAATTTTGTCAAAAAATAAATTTTTTGCAGTAACCCAATTTTGTAAAAAAAGAACAAAAATTCTGTGTTCCTCAGTGCAGCTGTGAAGCTGTTAATGAGCTACAACCAACAGTCATATGACACAAATTCAGGGACTTTTCTGCCGAACTGCAGGCTATGTGTACACAAGGCTAATAGTATGGAAACAAATTAAAACTGCAAGTAGTAAAATATCTCTAGTATGTAGAGTCACCATTTTTTCCAGTATTAGTAACACTTGTGGTCACTTGGAAAAAGGTTGTACATGTTGATTTGAGTTTTTTTGTAGTTTTGCAAAGTAAGTAATCAAAAACATTTCTTTCTTTTTTTTTCTTCTTTTTACTGTTTATGGCATTATACATGCGCTATACTGCACAGAAGACATTTTTGAGTTATCTGTGCTTCTAGTCATGGTTGTGTTGTTTCCATAGAGGTGCAGGACTTTGTTTTAGAGTGAAAAATGAGTCCGCAGTGAGTAAAAACGTGACAGGAGTAAAACACACCTAGGTTACAGATTACACATTATTGCTGGTGTATATTGTGTTTTAACACAGTCCTTAATGTGATTATTTTCATGTGCACCGACACTTGGGCCAACCAGTCCCAGGCGGTGAAAGCCGTGGAGCGGGAGCCCTACACAGGTGAAGTTGTTGCCGTGCTGAATTCAGGAAAGAGGGACTTTGGGGCTTCAGATCTGGACACTCCGACTCGCCCCTGCACCCGACATGGGGGCATGAGGGACCTCCACGAGTCCAGCTTCAGCCTGTCTGGTGAGCACCCATAGAGCTTATAAGCTTCCAATTTATTTTGCATGTAAGGATAATATATGTGCATAAGATGAAGTGTTTTTCAGGCTCCGTCTATTTGTATTGCTGCTTTCTGACACTGCTGCTGCTGCATCCCTTTAAAGAAACACAAAGATTGGCCTGATGAGGGAGCTGTAGCAGAAGTACCGGGACATGAATCTCTTTAACTATGTCGCCCACTAGGTGCCTACATCAGTCGTGGGTAATGGAACATGTGGGATTAAACTTGTTTACATGGTATTTTAGAGTTTCTTTAGAGGTGGATGAGGTATTACATCGTCCTCTTTAGGTATATTATTCACAATTATGCATCTGCAAGATAAGGTATGCAGAACCAATGGCCTCTTTTTAATCAATTCTTAAAACCCATTTTTATAGACTTGCTTTTATGTGATTTAGTCTATTTTATTCATCTAATTTATTGTTCTGTTTTATTCTCCTTTACTCTTTTATTTTTTACTGATATTTTATTTATTATTATTTTATTATTATTTTTATTAGTAGTAGTATTTTTTGTACCTATTTTTATGGCTTTAGTTTATTTAATTCTTTTTCATTAACGTGACAATTTTTGTGCTCTTTTTAATTGCTTTTTTTTTCAATTGGTGTTTGTTGTATTGATTCATTAAGGTTGAAATTGTGTATCTATTGTGCCTATTTCTTCCATTTTTATTTTTATTTTTATTTTTTTAACTTTGGACTTTTTTCTTTCTGATTGACCTGAGTGGAGTTAAGTTATTATTCTTATTCTTATTACCTTCAAAACTAGCTAGCTGCTGACAGGAAAAGTGGGAAGGTGTGGGGAATTATTCGGAACAAAGATCTGCAGCTAAACGACAAATTAAAAGCACTGTTTGCATCTTTACAACTAGACTGAGCTCTCAAACCTGCAATACCTTGGTGCCGGGGATTCATTTTTCTCGGAAGACAATAGTTATCTCTGTTTAAGTAAAAACTTTATCAAGGCAAGAGGATTTTTAAAGCCACAGGAGCCATAATTTTCCTTTTAGTACCCAATGATTTTCCTGTAAACGTGATTGTTTATGTTGAAATGGAATGTGAAGAATTGCTTTCATCTTTTTAAGTATGCTGCGTTTCCTAAACCTGCCTCAACATAAGCTGCTTACACAGATCTTTACAATAGAAAACACGATTAAGCTGCTCATGAGTACAACGAGGAAACACTAATTCCTTGTGTTTAACTGCTAAACTCACCGTTTCCTGCTGTTCTCAGGTGCTCAGATTGATGACAACATTCCAAAGAGATCCTCGGCCAGGATCCTGGCTCCTCCTGGAGGGAGGTCCAGCGGGATCTGGTAACCAACTGGAAGCAGAAGAATGACACCTGGAAGAAAACGTATGGCCAAGCAAGAAGACTTGTTTTTCTTTCTGGAAGCTTAGATTATGTGTGGAGTAATGGAGTCATGTTTTCATTTTGAACTGTAAAACATTGCCATAATAATATTGGAAAAAGGAAACAATAAGTGGTTATAGCTACCAAATTACAGTCAAATGTTAACCAAATATAAGCAGCAGATAAAAAAAAAAAAAGAGTTGCCATTGAGTTAGTTTGGTTATTGGATCATATTAGGGGGGAAAAAAATGTTGTATCTTACTAATAGTTTTAGGAATATGAAGGTGAGTCCTGGTTTTTATGATGCGATTGTGTTACCTCACTGTAAAATACGATTTTGCACTTGTATCATGTACTATTTAGATGCCTTTTTACATGATTTAACGTCACAAACGTCACAAAATGTCTTTGTACCGCGAGCCATGGTGAATGAGATGTAATAAATTATTACAAGGATGTCGGCATGATGTTAATATGCCAGTTATTATCGATCGATTGATGAAAAAAAGAAGAAAAAAAAAAAAGCATAATTCAAGCTGTTTGTTGTTTTTTTTTTATTATTATTGCATTATTTTGTGTTGTTTTCCTTTTCGATGTTACCGTGTTAGAGAAGAACGAGCTCTTTCGCTCAGTGGTTCATTATTGTCAGATTAGCATTTCAGATCATGTTTACAGCCTCACAGCAGAATAGACTTTCTGTTTCCACCCCCCACCAAATGTGAATGAACCTCCGCTGTGGGTCCTGTGCATGGTAGCATAGCGTAGAATCGCTCGAGATAAGCACCACTACTGATTCTTTGTATTCATTTCCACAGAGAGCAAAAAGTCTCACCCAAACTGCCTTTTTTCGCACCTGAGAACACGGACACCCCTCAGACACACACTGTCCAAATACCACCGGTGCAGGACGGGAAATTAGTTTGTATGTCAACACCTTTTGGTCTGAAACGGCAGCGTGTAATAAATGTTCCTCTGACTGACGTTTGCAATGTAGCATAACCACTGTGAAAAAAGGTGACGCGATCCTCTTTGCAAAGTTCAACAGCAGAGGTGTTAGTCGGTTAATGCCAAGTCTTCAGGGGATCAAATGCCTTCTTTATGCCACCGAAAGTTTGTATGTTTGTTTAGCAGCTACAGAAAAGCACTGATACTTTTTCAAGTTCTCGACTACTACTGTATTTTTATTGTTTGTTTGTTTTTAGTTATGAAGCTTGTGAATACTCGTCTTAGTAAAATTTTATTGTATTTTTTTATTATTTTGGGTCAAAACTGCAGCACAAGCAGGGACGCGCACAGGATTTAGCTCATTTTTAGCCCCCGTTATGTTCAGAAGATCTCCATGCATCCACAGTAAATGTCTTTATTTGTGTTTTTTTTTTATTTTTAGACAGATTTCACTTTTGGTCTTGAGATGCTCCAGTGGATCTTGTCATGTCTTTGCCCTCCCAAATGTACACTGGTGCTGAACAATGTGTCGACACATTGAATTCCTTTATCTCTTATTTCTTCTTGCAGCTCTTTATCACATGATTTGAGTGCAAATAAACCACCATGAAATCAAATCTTGCTTCTTGATTGCTGACGGTGAAGGTAACTCATGTAGTATGTTGCTGTTTTTTTATGTACTCATACTTTGCTTGAGTACTTCTATTTTATTCTGCTTTCCACTTTTACATCTCTGTGTTTGATTTACATTTATTGGACAGCTTTTGTGGCGACTAATGAGAAGCATTGACAGGCTGAGGCTCCTTGTTACAATTCAGATTCAGATCATACGTTTTCACTGTTCTTGCTAAAGAATCTCTTTGATATTTCACCAAAAACAAAAAAAAAAGTGAAGTATTACTTTGCTTTTTATCTTCTTTCCTTCCCACTTAACCATCTCTGACTCATTAAAAAAAGCATCTGAGCCTAAGTTGGGAACTACTGGAGTAAACTACTGACCTTTATACAACATGATGCATCAGTTTTAACAGTCTAACAATGTGCAGGATTCTGGATGCAGGACTTTTTCTTGTAATGAAGTATTTTTTTTTAGCAGTTTTGTGTCGTGAAACATCTGTGATTGTAACAAACATACAGATGTGAACAAAAGCTTACATACACTTGTAAAGACCATGTATATCATGGCAGTCCAGTGACTCCTATAACTCATAATTTAACCACAGAAACATATTTAGTTTTGTTATGGATTTATTATATGTCTTCTAGAAAACTGATGAAATTTGCTGGGGCAAAAATATACATACAGCAATTCTAATATTTGGTTAAACAACCCTGGCCATTCTCAGCTCAACCAGGCATTCTGGGTAGCCATCAAGCTTCTAATTGTATCTTTGACCACTCCTCATGATAGAACTGGTACAGACACATTTCCCTTATTGCGGTCCACAGGGGTTTAATGGGGTTTAAATCAGGACTTTCAGGGGACCATGCTAAAACCTTAATACTAGCCTGATGGTGAGTTTGGGGTCATCGTGTTGCTGGAACTGCCTCCACCTTCTGGCTGATGGTTTTAGGTTTTCCTGAAGAATGTGGAGGTAGTCATCCTTCTTTATTATTCCATTTACTTTGGTGTCAGTAACATCCCCAGACCATAATACTGCCACCACCATGCCTGGCAGTAGATTTGGTTCTCTACCTTCTCTTCTCCAAACATATTTCAGGTAATTGTGGCACATTTTTTTTGCTTCATCAGACCCAAGAACTTTCCTCCAGAACGCCTTTTCTTTGTCCATGTGATCAGCAGCAAACATTAGTTGAGCCTTAAGGTGAGGCTTCTAGGTCCTCAGTGTTGCAGCTGATTACGACATCTCATTATGGCGATACGAACACGTGTCTTTGGAGTGTTTTTACATTATCAGTTTTCTGTGTTTAGACTCACAATTACAGCTGGCATATCTTATCTTAGCAGCTGATAAAACATAAATAGAAAGCATTCAGTCAAGCCTGACCCTTTAGAGAACACCTGACTGCAGGTTGGAAACTACTACACCACAAACTCTCTTTATTAAGAAGTTATGTTTCAAAGGCTTCATCACAACACTGAATTACAAGGACTAGACCATGTTATTGGGATTAGGGGAACCCGATAAATCATAATTGTCAGAGTCTTTCATGCACAGGTGATGCATGATGTTTCCCTCAAGTGTGGTTCTGTATGCAGGACTTGTTCCTTGCAATGTGATGCGTTTACATTGTGGTATTACCAGTTCTCTCTGCTGCTGATTCAAAATCTCATCCAGCTGCATTTAAAACATCAACAAAAAGCATTCAGTGAAACTTGACCCTTCAGAAAACACCTGGGAACGACTGTATTACAATCTTTTTATTGGCAAGCTATGTATCCCAGTCTTTAAAAAGTGTTCTAATTAGACCCCTTATCAAAAAGCCAACTCTTGATCCTCTTGAAAAAGCTGCTGCAAATAAATTGTTTACCATTTGCAGAGAAATGGTTGGTTTAAAACTTGTACTTTGTACATCAAAGCACAGAAACTATACTTGTGAAAGTCACCAGTGATTATAACCTCTTATAGACGATGGATTCGTCTCTATACTAGTCCTCCTAGATCTCAGTGCTGCAGAATTTTGAAGACATGTTTTTGGGGTTAAATGATTCACTTAAATCATATTTATCGGACAGATTTTAATTCATTCTTGATTCTTTCCTGCACATGTGATACATGATGCTTCCCTTAAGTGTGGTTCTGGATGCAGGACTTGTTACTTGCAATGTGATGCGTTTACATTGTGGCATTACCAGTTTTCTCTGCTGTTGATTAAAGAAATCTTATCCAGCTGCATTTAAAACATCAGCAAAAGGCATTCAGTGAAGCTTGACCCTTCAGAAAACACCTGGGAACTACTGTATTACAATCTTGCCATCTGATGTATTGCACCAGAGTTCACTTTAAGCTAATTTCCATCTGCAGCCCCTGTGAACCCCCTGCTTTAAAAGGTGCTCTAATTACACCCCTAATCAAAAAGCCTACTCTTGATCCTAATGAAAAAGCTAAATTATGACCATTTGCGTAGAAATGGTTGGTTTAAAAACTTTTACTTAGAACAGAAGCTGTACCAGTGAAAGTCACCTTTGATCTTCTTGTAGACAATGGATTAATCTCTATACTAGTCCTGCTGGATCTCAGTGCTTCATTTGATAAAGTTAATCAAAGCATTTTATTATGAACACTTGAAAATATGTTTTTATGAATAAAGGATTCACCTAAATCATATTTATCGGACAGATTCCAATTCATTCTTGATTATTTCCTGCACATGTGATGCATGATGCTTTCTTTCTTTCTTTGGATGGGACAGTGCTTATTAATAAACATACAATCACAAGGTTGCAGTAAATACGCTGGATTTAGCATAAGGCTAATTTCTATCCGTTGTCCCACATGCAAAAGAAAAACACACAGAGATATGGACGTATAAAATAAATAAAAAAGAAGTGTGGTTGTGGATGCAGGACTTGTTACTTGCAATGTGGTGCTTTTACATTGTAGTATTACTAGTTTTCTCTTCAAAAAATCTGCAGATAAAACATCAACAAAAGGTATTTTCATGACATCTGACCTTACACACACACACACACACACACAAAAAAAACCTTAGTCACTGGCAGGCCCCTAAAAAAACCCAAGCAGACAACATCATGTGTCTCCTAGCCGGAGCAGGCCACAGTCCTATTTATAATGAACCTTTAACAGCATGGAGTCGGGCGCATGCGCGGTGCGGGCTGGATTGTTGCAGCCCCAGACAGGGCGGCCCGTTACCAGGCACTGCACCGCGCACGGTCTGACAACGACGACGAGCAGCAGCGGGCATTGACACACGGAGCACTGCCAGCGCGACAACAACACAGACACTCCTGAACACTGTGAGTACAAAAAAAAAAAACCTTTCTTCCCTCCGACATGGACATTTCTCTGCCCCCCCTCCTCCTCTCCCCTCTTTTTCTTTTTATTATGGTTTTTGTGTGTTTATTCCCACGCAGCGAGGATATTTCCCGTGCACTGACAGTCCTGAGGTATTCGTGGAGGCCTGTAGAGGGGGCCGCTAGGAGAACAGCAGCAGCAGCAGCAACCAGCAGCAGCAGCGTTGCGGGATTTTTTTTTTTTTTTTGAACACAACAGACCAGGCAGCCAGAAAAACACGCATTTATTGTTCTCATGTCGGGGCTGCAAATGTCAGACCTCCGCCCATCTGCTCCTGCTCAGCGGTTTGCGCCTCGGATTTGTGCTGCAGTCATTACCGGAGCTTTTTTTTTTTTTTCCCCTCTCTCTCTCCAAAGGCCCAGCTCATTTTTTTTTATTTTTATTTTTTTTTTATTCCTTTAGAGAATAGATTGCCTCCCCTGTCGTGCGCTGCTCTCGATCCATTTATTTATTAAATTGCACACCCACTGCAAGGTTAATAATGAAGATCCAGCCTCATAAAGGACCCCGGTTTCTGGCTAGAATCGTGCTATTTGCAGGATAGCCGAGCCCCCCCCCGTGGGAGAACGCTGGTATGCGCGTTGCTAAAAGGTGCATTCACGATTCTGTGGTGTTATCATGACAAATCGCAGCTTCATTTGCAGAAGTGCACACACATGCTGTCATTTCTGCATGTGACCTTAAAAGCATCATTTTTTTTTTGAAGCCTCCACCTCGCCTGGGTTCACATGCATTCTCATTGCATTGAATATTTAAGGTGTTAAAAGGTCTTTTTTTTTTGCTGGTGGAAGGTATTAACAGGCAAAGTGAGCACAGAGAAGCCTGGAGCTGCCAGATGTGTAAAGCTGCTCACAAACACCGGGGTATTTCTGTTTAATCTAAGCAGGATTATGCTCACAACATATCTGTAGATTAACACTGAAAGTAAAGATGCTTCACAGGCAGTGTGTTTACAGTCAGAAACATACAAACATCCAGTGTAATTTCTGTAAAAGGCCAATGTTACAGCCGGAGATCTGCAATGTGAAAATCTACCAAAACCCAGAGATAAAAATGGTAGAAATCTCCAAAAAGCTGGGAAAGTATATTAGCAATAGTTTGCATAGATGGAAATCTGTGGTATTAGGAGCAAGAAATGGGTTCAGGCACACAGCAGGGTCATAAACGAGTGAAGTTCAGCCAGCAGAAATGTAATCTGCAATTCTTTTGATGATCAGTTAATACTTAAAGTAATTTTTGCAAACAAAAGCATCAAAAAGTTAAAGAGTAAACTGTGTCTAATGAAACAGGCTGCAGCGATTAATCCATTGCATAATCAGTTAGTTATCAATCATAACAATAATCGCAAACTGTTTTGATAATCAAGTCATTTGTATAACAAAAATTCTTAATTTTGAATATTTTCCGTCCTCCTTAATGACACTAAACTGAATATTTTGGACCAAACAAGACATCTGAAGGTGTCATTTTGGGTTTTGTCAAGCACTAATTGACACGTTTCACCATTTTGTGACATGTTATACATCAAATAACTGATTGATTAATCGGGAAAGTAATCAACACTGAGCATAACAGGTAATTGCGGCTATCTCTGGGTTTTCTACTGTTGATGGGAAAACAAAAAGCTATTTGAAGACGTTGACTTTAGAGAAGTGAGGAGATTGTAACTGATGTTTTTTCTGTATCAGAGGATTATTGAAGAAGTTAATCATTAGCGCTACATAAGTATGATATCATTTCTACATTCTTCTAAGTCTGTGACGTCCAAGATGGAAACTCAGCGAGGATATGGGAGGCCAAACTTCAAACAGCTCACGTCCGCACACCAGCCTGATTATGTGATAAAGGCAATCAGTGTGCTTTGATTTGCATACAATAGAAAATCAGAGCCAGATGGAGTAGCCGGTTCGAAATTGTGGGATTAGGTGAAAGTGTGCTGGTCTAATCTTCAATCAAACTCCATTGAAAGTTTGTGAAAACCCATCTAAACGTTTCTCTGTCTTGTGTGTCAGGTAGGGGATGGCAGTGAATGTGTACGCCACATCTGTGTCCATTGACAACCTCAGCCGACATGACATGCTGGCATGGGTCAACGATTCTTTGCACCTCACCTACACCAAGATCGAACAGCTCTGTTCAGGTGAGGCCGCCAAAACGAGCTTTTTGAAAAAGTAATTCTGGACAAATCCGACTGTAAACAGCTGCAACAAACTTGTCTTTGTGTTCTCCAGGAGCGGCGTACTGCCAGTTCATGGACATGTTGTTTCCGGGGTGCATTCTTCTGAAGAAGGTCAAATTTCAAGCCAAGCTGGAGCATGAATTTATACACAACTTCAAAGTTCTTCAAGCAGCTTTTAAAAGGATGAGTGTTGACAAAGTCAGAGTCATTTCATACTGCTTTTCATGATATCTGAGATTGTTTATTTAGCTGCATGTTGTGTCTCGCGGAGCCTTTCTAACGTTTCCTGTTTCCACTGTCCAGATTATTCCTGTAGAAAAGCTTGTAAAAGGGAAATTCCAGGACAACTTTGAATTCGTGCAGTGGTTCAAGAAGTTCTTCGACGCCAACTACGATGGGAAGGAGTACGACCCTTTACTAGCCAGACAGGGGCAGGACGTGGCCCCTCCCCCCAATCCAGGTGATCACTTTATCCACAAACCAAAGAGAAACCCAGGTAAAGCAAACAGTTTCGCCTCTGCTGCACGGTCTTGCTGAGCTTTGGATGGCTCAAACAGCGCTCCCTGCAAGCAAGTGGTGTGAGCGGCACGATTCACAGAATGACTGCTGTCCTCTCTGATCCATCTCACTGCCCAGCATTCACAAAAACCATGACACTGTAGGTACGACTGAGTCACTGGTGGGATTGTGGTGATCGCCACAGTGCGTTGTGGGACGCAGCATCAGCGAGGCCAATTGTAGCTTTGCTTTCTCAGTTCCGATTGAAGTAAGGCCAAAACACCTGCAGTAATATTTAACACAATGAGATGCCCCAGTGTCCTGCATCAAGCAGCTGATGCAACACTGCTGCAGCTTCATCTCTGAAAGCTGGTTTGACAACAAAAAGTCTCATTTTACTAACACGAGTAACCAGCCTTGCTCTGTCTCTGTGGAAGGTTGTTGCTTGGAAATCATGGCGAACTATCTAATATGACATGTAGCCTGCTTTGTGACTTTGTCACTAGTAAGCAGTGTGTTTGTAAATGGGCAGAATGACTGCATTTACTTTCAGAACTATCATAATGCGTGTTGGCATGTTTTGTCTTTGAGTTTATCAGAAACACCTTTGCTGAAGCACTTATAGAGGTTTGTTAGGACACTCTGTTTTTTTCTTTTTAAGTTTTTGATGCAATTAAAAAAGACTTTTGGCCCTTTTGTAAATTTAAAATCTGGCTTTTGAACACTAGTTTGTCTTTTATATCAGCTCTATTGTAATTTGGAATCCATTCACAAAAAATGGCATATCAAAGGCACAACATTACGCTACAAGCTGATGGCATCGGCGCTCTATAATGTGCTATATCCATCGCCACAACTGCTATAAAGCCAAAATAAGTGCAGTAGGTCTGTTTTTAATGCAAATATTAAACACCTGTCCCCATGTCTGACCCCTCCAGGACCACAGAGGACATCTCCGACAGTTCCCAAAAACATGCCAACACCACAGCGGGTCCAGCACAACACTCCAGCCTTGAGGAAGAACCCGACTTTGTCTAGAAACGGGGGCAGTGATGCTGAGATCATGGAGCTAAATCAACAGGTAGAGCTGGAGGGCTGCACTCTCAAACCACAGCATCCTCCTCTGAGCACTTTCTGTCTCATTTGTATGAAAAAAACATCTATTTATTGCAATGATGTTGTTTTTTTATACCAGACTATGATTAATATTTGATAAAGGAAAAGTGTAAACAATAAAAACAGACTTTGATCCATAGAGGATTAATTAATGTTATTAGTAGCAGCTGTAAAGTCCAGATGACTGCTTTGTGAGAAAATACTAATACTAGTTGCAGTTAAAACATATGTACCAGTGATGAAGATTTAAGATATTTTTAGAAAAGTGCTGTTTTTTTTAGTTTTTTACTGGCTTCTGGTCAAGTATATTTTTGCTAGATTTTCCTTCCTCATATGTAAATACTTGCCGGTTCGCGTCCCGGTGGGGGCACCGGAATCTTTCTGCGTGGAGTTTGCATGTTCTCCCCGTGCAGCGTGGGTTCTCTCCAGGTTCTCCTTCTTCCTCCCACACAGTCCAAAAACATGTTGAGGTTAATTGGTGATTCTAAATTGTCCGTAGGTGTGAATGTGAGTGTGCTTGGTTGTCTGTCTCTAAGTGTAGCCCTGTGATAGACTGGTGACCTGTCCAGGGTGTCTCCTGCCTTCACCCTGAGTCAGCTGGGATAGACTCCAGCCCCCCACGACCCTAGTGAGGATTAAGCGGTGTATAGATAATGGATGGATATGTAAATGTCTATATGTAAATATGTAATATTTATGAAGTGAAACAAAAGGCAGTTTACTAACATTTAAACCACTGCAATTAAAGAAGCGTGAAAGCAAGATTCATTTGCGAATTATGTGCAAAATATGTTAAATCTTTGTCACTGGAAAATCTGTTTTAACTGCAACTAGTATGAAAAGCAACAGGCCTTTTTTTCCCACAAAGTAGTCATGTGGATTTTACAATAGGTTAAACACAGCTGCTGCTAATAATAGTAATAAGTGCTGCCTGGATCAAACAGTGTGACATTGACATGGCATTCACACTATAAGATAATATAAGGTAGACTTTATTAATCCTGAAGGAAATTCTTGTGCCAGATATTGCAAAAAAAGAAAAAAAAATTATGTAACATAAAAATATCAGTGCCAATGGAAAAAATATAATATGTAAGTATGATACATTACTGAAAAACAAACACTCAGCTGAAATACGGCTGGAATAGAAAGCAAGAATTAGTACTGACAGTGATTCTGAGACAGTAAAGTAACATTGCGCTCCACTGTTTTGCCTCCTTTACTGTCAGAAACACTTGTGGTTATTTTATCTGACTACATGGTTGAACACGTGTTTTTCTTTCCTCCTAAGTTGATGGAGCTGAAGTTGACTGTAGATGGCCTAGAGAAGGAGAGAGACTTCTACTTCAGCAAACTACGGGACATCGAGCTGATCTGCCAGGAACACGAGAGTGAAAACAACCCCATCCTCAGCAGGATAATTGACATTCTCTACGCAACAGAGGTATCGCTCTTTTATGACTGGATGTTTGTCACTGTGCAAATGATTGAGAAGCCCCTCAACACGATGTTGCATCTCGCTTTACATCTTTAGATTGTGTTTTTCTTTTTATTGTTTATTATCACTATTTATTCTGCGTTTCAGTAGACTTAAATTTACAGAATTTTCCATAAGTCCCAGACAGTTGCAGCTTAAATGTCAAAGTGCGACAGAATAAGCGGAGTCTTTTAGGCAGCAGACTAAACAACTAAGCAACTGTAACAATGGATTAGAAACCAAACTATGGTGTCAGAACTAGGTGCATTGCTGTGCTGGTAAATCTTGATAGGAAAGACCTGATATCTGATTGAATATGATGTCCAGAGCAGCAAATTCCTGATTCAGTTCCTGACAGGCCAGATCATTTGCCTGGTCATTTCCCTACTCTCCTTCCCCTACATTTCCTTTCTCTCTCCACTCCTGCCATAGACTCTATATAAAAGATGAACGTAGCATCCAGGTATGAAAAGTGAAGCCAATGCAGAAGTGCCTCAGTTAAACCCTCGAAACAGCCAGCAGGGGGCGACACCTCTGGCTGCAAATGTATAGAAGTCTATGAGAAAATCGCCCTACTTCTCACTAGATTTGCAATCTTAGTAAACATCTTCCTAATGAGTTTACAGCCTTAATCACGAGTTTGAAGACTTTCTGAATACAACATGATGTTAATTTTGTAAATTATGGTTCCATTCAGAGTATAATGAATGATAAAGCAGGGTCAGTTTTAGGTCGGGGCTACCTTGTGATTGAAGTGTTATAATGGCCAAATTCCAAACTGGGGGATTTGAAATGATGCCTAACAAAGCAACAGGTGGCATCATGGTTGCAGTTTACTGTCAAGTAAAGACACAAAAAGCCTCTCAAATAATCCTCATGGTAGTTTTTTTCTCATGCGGATTGTTTTACTTTGATAATACCCTCACAATGGCTTCAGTCTGTAACAGTTAGTAGAAAGAAAGACTGGAGAAGTTACAAGTTCACCACTTAAAGAATCCTGTATAGAAATGTAACAGAAAATTTCGCGACAGTTGTGTGACACACGCCACAAGCCAGTCGTCTGCAATATAGCAGCTGAACCTGAAAACATTCAAACACGGTGTCATGAAGCTGTGCACATGCTTTTTAAACCTTATTTCAAGGAAAGCAGTTTTAATCAGATGTGACTGATAATCCTGTACATAATACAGACACTTAAATCTGAACAATGATATCAGTGTCTTTTGCAGTATTATTTCTTTTAGTAGTTTGTGCAATATCAGCTTCATGTGTTGTATTTTATGTTCATGTACAATATTTCAATTTTGTGTGCAATGTTTCAGTTTAATGTGCAATGTTTCATCATGTGTTATATTACTTTATTACCTCAGAATCATTGCACTTATTACTTCTTACTTTCTTATTCTAATCTTATTTTGGCATACCATTCAAAAACAATTTTTGGTAATGCACCAAGCTTCTGTTAGGCACTGCATTTTTTTTCTTATGATGTGTAATGTTGTTGTTCTTAGGAACATCTGACACATGAATTTCTCTTATCTTATTGTTTTTGTGACCATTAAAATTGTAGTTATGTAGAGCCTTGGTCTTGTTTTCCCAAAATATCTGCATGTGGCAGGACTTGCTCTAAAGAGCCTTTGGAAACACATAGACTAAAAAGACTGCACTGAGTTGCTACATCTAGCTGAACAGAAGCGTGTCCAGATTTGATGTTATATAGAGGACATTTTTTATTCATTTACATGCCGTCTTTGTTGGTCAAAAGCAAATGAAGTAAAGCATAAAACCTGAGTAACACTTTCATTTTTCCTGTATCTCAGGAAGGCTTTGCACCTCCAGATGATGACGACCTCGACGAACAAGCTCACCTGGACCAGGACGAATACTGAACCCATCGTCTCCTTCTCCCCCCCATGCCCCCAGCATCTCATCTTCCATCTTCCCTTTTCTTTTTTGCCCTCATTTTGTTTTATACTCTCTGCACGCTTTCTATAAATACTCACCATCGTCCCCGCTCTCCGTCTGTCTTTTCCTTTCTTTCTCATATGTATATCTGTTGGTAACCGACCCCCTCCGCCCTCTGGCCGTCTTCATCACTATACACAACTCGTCATCATCTGCTGCTCCTCCCTGCCTCCACTTACACAGTAACAATAACAGTAATGTATGACATATCCCAGTTATTTCAGCATGAGTAACGCAGAAAACAGAGCCGAGCCTGGCATGGAGGTTGTTAACAGTGAGTTCTCAAGCCTGTAAATATTTCCAACATTTAGATTTTTCTTAAAGAACAAATGTCTTCTGCTCATTCTGGAGTTATTTATTTGCCTTTGGTGCGCTGTTAATACTACTTTTAGAGCACAGAACAACGACTCTGCTCCGATGTGCCATCAGGACACTCCCTGAGCTAACTAAAACTGTAACAAAAGTGACTTTTTAATAACAATTTCTTATTTATTTAACTTATATTTCATTTAGATTAACTTTCTGTAGCAAAAATTGGTGCAAGCCTACTGTACATGAATTGAAAGCTGAGGCCACGTGTGTTATTTCAGTTTGCGCTTGAGTCAGCATCGAGCTTTTGGCTTCTGCTGTGGTGGGGTCACGGCATGTAGAAACGCTGAAAAGAAACTCTTTGGTGTGATGACTCAAGGCTTATATGATCAGTGCTCTGCGATTATTCGTTATTGATCAGCAACATATCTGAGCATGAGAATGTTACACATTGACTGTGAATGAGTGATATTTTGTAAATGTATTTTGTGTGGAGATTTTGTCCGATGTCGCACGATCCCGGTTAATCGCCGTTGTATCTTTTAGGCTGACATGCAGTAGCCTATAAGTTTAAAAATTTTAGAGGTGGAAACGCACCTGCAGGTTGACAACATGGTTATAGATTGTAGCAGTTCTAATGTTTTACTCTGACGCGTGACGGACACTGAATCAATACAGACACATTTTCACATGGCAGCCTTTGTCATGTTTCTACTGCTAATCATACTGTGTTTATACTTTTAACTTGTTGTAAAAGGTCGCCCAGGGTTTATCCGTTGTAGTCTGGAAGAAAGTCACTACGAAGAGATCTAAGACCAGCTGACTGGTTATCACTAGCATCCAGTTAAACAGGGACGTCTCCTTGTCCTTCCCTAGCTATTTTTACTTTGCAAACTGGCTGTTGTCTGCTCTGGAAACTTGCATTCATTGACCATGTGAACATCTACAGAACACTCATCTTTTGAGTTTTGAATAAATAAACAGTTGTGAAACAGAACGGTTGTGGTGGAATTTGTAATGTATGTTGCAGGAAGTGTGTGTGCAGGTGTGTCAACGTAGCTAAATGAACCCTGTGAAGTATAGTTTGTTCAATTTGATCTGATATTATATTTGGGCTACAGTAAAACCTATTTAGATTTTGAGTCTTTAGTAGCTTGTACAAAAACAGGGTGCTCATTAAAAGCTTGACACATTTTTTGCTTGTGCAGGTCAGAGTGTTAATGAGCGCGTGAAGAAATTGGTGGGAACGAGTTCGCGTCCCAGTCCTTCCAGCACCTAGCAAACGTTGAACCTAACACGTAGTTGTATTTTGCAAGCTGTGCCGACATTATTTTGGTACAACATTGGCGATAAAACAATAAACAGCGACTTTGAGTGTTGCATAGACTGTTCTGTTAGAAAATAACAGACGCCAGTTTGGCAAAAATATGAACTGTAGGTGCAGGAAGGTGCATCTTAACGTCGTTGTTGTATATCACATTGCATGTAAACACACAGAGTTGTTTTCTAGAAAGAATATTGACAAAAAAAACTACTACAAATCAATGACGCACTATATTCCGTGTACTGTACTTGAGCCCTGTAGTTCACTGTACTGTTTAACCGGGGGATTAGCTCAAATGGTAGAGCGCTCGCTTAGCATGCGAGAGGTAGCGGGATCGATGCCCGCATCCTCCAAAAGAGTTTTTTTTTTTTTTTTGGCCAAAGAGCCAAATATATGTCAATAAAGTTGTCCTTAAACTGAGAAGAAGTAATGTAAAAGACGACCAAATACTTGAAGGAATTATTATTTCTATTTCTACTATAAATATATTGCGCATGTGTGGCTGTATTTACAGCAGCTCTCTTACTGTAATTGTAAAGCACTTTTAAACTTACCGTCACTAAAATTACAAAATTGGGATGAATTAGCAAAATATACAAGTTCATTCAGAGGCGCTGGTTGAATATAATGTGATTTTTAGGAGAATACACGGAACCGCACAAATAGGTGTAGGTTCCACTGAAGACCAGCAGATGGCAGCACATCATAACAAATACATTGGGAGCTGTTAGGAGACGCCGAATTGAAGTCACATGGCTCCACCGACACTTATAAATTGGAGTAATGCATCGAAAATTATCTAAAACAATCACAGACACAATCATTAAAGTGAAGATGGATTCCTATTGGATCATTTCGTTCGCCCACGCACTATACAACACCGGGGGATTAGCTCAAATGGTAGAGCGCTCGCTTAGCATGCGAGAGGTAGCGGGATCGATGCCCGCATCCTCCAACGGAGCTTTTGCTTTACACAAACGAACTTTGAGGGCATGCAGTTTACTTTTACAATGCTTCTCTTTCTTCTTCTTCACAAGTGGGAGGAGCAAAGAAATGTACAAGAAGTTATTAAAACTGAAAAAGAAGTGCACGTCCTCCATGTGATCGTGCAGCTACATTGCAAGTCACATGGACATTAAGTCAATTTTGCAGAAGCACCAAGATTCATGTCCTTGTTCTTTGTGCTCTCAAAAGCGATTCTAGAGACCTATTTCCAATAATGAAAAAGATGCATGGTTGCAAAAGAAAAATTCTTATATTTGAATTTAGATCAACCTTTTAAGTTGCAAACACAACTTTGATGAGTTAGGGTGACATTATAAAGTTGGTACTTGTAACAACCTCACATTGTGTGTATTTAAACCTAAATTTCTGCATTAGTTGACATAAAACTAAAATCAAGTTGCTGTAGGGTCATGAAACTGGCTTCACCCTGAGGTCAAGTTCTTTCCTTAATCTCTTGAATTTTCCAACTTAAAAGCTTGTGTTTGTAATGATAGTACTTGAGTACACAACACTTAAACATTCCCTGTAAATAGCATGAAAACACTAGTTAGAACAACTTAATTTCATGAGTAACCAACTCAAAAAGTTGTGTTCATGCTACAACTAGTTGTAGAGGAAACAGCAGTGTTTGTTGGTTGAACAGAATTTCATTAGAAGTCGGCATAACTCAAAAAGATTGATGCAAACTGTTAGATGATGTTAAGATTAGAAATGTTTATTCATCAGTTACTTCACAATAAACACCGTAGTTCACAATAAATCAGAACAAATGTGCCAGTCCTACCTTGCAGCAGCAACAACAATAACACAACAACAACAATAAACCTAATAATAATTACTTTAAAGCAAAAATAAAGCTAGCCCTTATGTGACACAACAATAAAATGAACTACATTGCAGTAATGGATCTTGCATGATTTTTTGTGTACTGGAGCCGTATATAATGCCCTTAATCTACAACGTGATTTTGTCAAATGGCAAAACACACTTTCAAAAACACAAGTAAAAGTACTTTCTTCACAGTGTCAAACAGTAAAATCCAGCAGATCTCTCAAACCCCCATCATCTTCTTGACCATGTATCCAGGCATGTTGTAGACGAAAAGAGCCACGATGGCCAGCAGCAGGAGAGCGGTGACGATCTTGATGGTCAGCCACCTGTACTGGTCGCACATGAGGTGTTTCGCAGCCTTGAAGGGGATGAGGAACCAGAGGAGGGCGATATCTGGACGGCTGGTGGAAAACACAAATAACACAAGATGTGACAAAAAGTTCATTTAAAACATAATTCACTGTTTAAAGGTTGTCATCTCTGTAAAAAGAAAACGGCAAATATCTGTAAAATAATGAGCTTTGCAGATGATTAAAACTGAGTAAAGCAGGACAATTTTACAGTCATACATTGTAAAAGAACAAATTAGTATTTGCAAAAATCCAGATGTTTTTGTGTGAACATTATGCAGTTTTATCCTGTTTGTTTTAGTCAACATGAAATTTTTTTTAAAAAATGACAAATATATGTTAAATAGAATTTTAATTGCTGATTTAAATACAGCAAAAACAGCATAATTTTAAAGCAAAACAATATAAAAACAACAATATAAAAAAACAACAAAATGACCAACTATAAAAATACAGATTTGGCAGATTATGGGCATCATTCACTGCAACTTGTTGATCTAATTAAATTGTTACCGCATGAATATCCTCCCTTTCTGAAATGTCGTGGAGTGGAAGCATAAAATAGAAATACTCTTGTAGAAGTACCCCAAAAGTGTACTTACGGACAGTATTTGAGCAAATTATTTCTACAAACAAGGACACGTGAGACATAAACACCAGAAAACTGAATGAGCCAGATGTCAATTTATTCACAAATTTGAAATATCATACATTGAAACAGAAGCAAGAAAATCTAAAATCCAACACATCAGCTATTCTAAATATGCTTTTTTATTTTATTTTTATCAATAAAACTTTTAGAGCCATTTAAATGGTAACGTGGTTTCACAAAGGTGAGCTGAGGACATCAAATGGATTTAACAGAAACAAGGAAAAAATTTCAACAAACAAGTAAAACTACATAATTATCACAACAACAGAAGCAATATGAGGTTTGTGCACATTATTGATCAGTCATAGGTACACTCAAGATGTATTACTAGCACTGCTACTGCACTAGTGCTCTTTTAAATTACTTTATGAAATGGTAAATTGGAAATAACATACACAAAACAATACAAATTCTTACTGAAGGCACACCATTTGAAAAAGGGAAAAGCTCTGTTTTTCTTTTTAAGCTCCCAACATCTTCTTGACCATGTATCCAGGCATGTTGTAGAGGAAAAGAGCCACGATGGCCAGCAGCAGGAGAACGGTGAGAATCTTGATGGTCAGCCACCTGTACTGGTCGCATATCAGGTGTTTCGCAGC